CAGGGGTAGGCAGCGCTCGGATCAGCACCGTTAGGGTGCCCCAGATCAGCGCAAACAAGGGGATTCTTGTCAGGGTGCCCCAAATCAGTGCAGACAGGGGGAATCCCGTCACTATGATTATTGTGGTCGATTAGGACATCTCAGGGCTACTTGCTGGAAGCTCCATCCAGAGCTTAAGTCGCCTCCTCGCAGTCGTACTGTTGTTATTGCTGAGGTACCACCACCCACTACCGCTACTCTTGCTGCTGCTGCTCCACCTTGGCAGAGTGATATGGATGCTATCACTTCTCGATTAGATATACTTATGTCTGCTATGACTTCTCAGAGTCTGACTACTGCTACTATCACCACTACAGGTATACCTCGTGCCTTTCACACTTGTGCCAGCTCATCTCCCCTTTGGATGTTGGACTCGGGTGCGAATGGTCACATGACAGGTGAGACCCATCACTTCACCACTTTTGACGAGCAGTTACATACACAGGTTTAGTTAGCAGATGAGACACATGCCCCTATTGTTAGTAGGGGTACAGTCCGCGTCCCAGATGGCCTTACATTACGTTCGATTTTTCATGCGCCAAAGTTGGCTACAGTTAGCCAGAGATTTTCATTGTGCGGTTGTATTCTTATCTGATTCGTGTTATTTGCAGGAGAGTACTAGGAGGATTATTATTAGCGAACATGAGAAAGATGGACTTTATTATCTTGGCAATCCACCTTGAGTTTCACCAATTCCTCCACCTACATCACCTGCACCTGCTTTGTCTTTTTTTGTTTCTAGCTTGCATGCTAGTATTTTACCTAGTAGTTGTCATTATGATTTTTCGTCACAAACTGTTCAGTTGTGACATGACCGTTTTGGACATACAAATTTTAAATTTTTATGTATGTTGTTTCTTGCTTTGAGCAATGCTTGTGTTGGTGGTAAACTTGACTGTGTTATATGTTCCCCTATCGAAACATGTTAGGGTCGGTTCTATTCCTCGCATGCACCAGTCACCTAAGCCATTTGACCTAATACACTCTGATATTTGAGGACCCTCTCCTGTGACTACTTTGTCAGGTGCCCGATATTATGTGACATTTATAGATGACCATACCCGTTGTACTTGGGTCTACCTTTTACATAGAAAGTTTGATGTACTTCCTATAATTACTCAGTTTTTACAGATGATTAAGACACAATTCGATGTCATTGTTCGTACTCTTCGCTCGGATAATGCCAAAGAATATGTGTCTGATGCCTTAATGTCTCACTTTTCTTCTCAGGGTATTCTTCAGCAACTCACTTGTCCATATACTTCTGAGCAAAATGGTGTTGCTGAAAGGAAAAATAGGAGTTTGATAGGGATGGTACGTTGTATGCTTAGAGGCATGATGGTACCAAAATCTTATTGGTATTTTACTGTTTTGACTTCTACCTTTCTGTGCAATCGTACGCCGAGTCGTGTTCTTTAGTATAAGGCTCCCTTACAGGTCTTATTTCCTAAGTGGACACTTTTTCCAGTCCCCCCTCATATTTTTGGATGCACATGTTTTGTTCAGGATCGGTCTTCTACTCGTCATAAACTTGATGATAAAGCGATTCGTTATATCTTTGTGGGCTATTGTCATCAATCTAAGGGGTATCGGTGTTATGATCCTATCAGGTGCCGTATGTATCACAATCTAGATGTTACATTTCTTGAGCATATTCCTTATTTTTCCTCCTAGTCTTGTGTCTGCCCCTCCAGTTGATGATACTCCCTTTGATTTTTCATTACCACAGGAGTCAAAGTCATTGGTCATTATCCCTACAGGGTCATTTGTTTCTCCTCCTTCAGAGCCACTCATCTCTGTTAGTACAGAGTTACCAATCTCTCTTCCTTTGCAGGTGTATGTTCGTCGCCCTCGCTCTCATCACCCTGCTAGTGTCCCCTCTACCTCAGGCGATGTAGGTAATACTTCTCAGTTTGTTGAGCATATTGATGCACCTGTTGTTAGTACTGATAAGATTGCAGGTGCTAAGCTAGTTCATTTACCTGATGAGACATTATCAATGGAGGAGTATGATTTAGGGCGTTGTTATCCGTGGCGTAATTGCCGTCCAGTTGATCGTTATGGTTGGACCGCCAGGATTTTATATCCGATCACTGCTTATATTTCTTATGGTGATCTGTCTCCCACATTTCGAGCTTATACTATAGCCTTATCAGATACGCTGGTTCCTTCGCTCTATTTCGGAGGCTATGCGGGAGCCCCAATGGGTTCTTGCCATGCAGACAGAGATGGATGCTCTTCAGGGTAATCATACATGAGATCTTATCTCCTTACCTTCAGGGGTGAAGCCTATTGGCTGTCGCTGGATTTACACCCTGAAGTTTTGTGCGATGGTACTATTGATCGTCACAAGGCTAGACTTGTGGCGAAGGGTTTTACACAGGTACCAGGTCATGATTTTGGTGCTACATTTGCCCCCGTGGTAAAATTGACTACTGTTTGATTGACTATTTCTCTGGCTGCGGAGTACTCTTGGCCTCTTCATCAATTAGATGTGAAAAATGCATTTCTTCACGGTGATCTGAATGAGATTATTTATATGGATGTACCACGGGCTTTCGTGGGTGAGGAGGAGTATGCTGAAAAGGTATGTCGATTACGTAAGTCTCTTTATGGACTGAAACAGTCGCCACGAGCCTAATTCTCTCGCTTTAGTGATGTAGTCGTACGATTGGGGTTCACTAGGTGTCATTCTGATCATACCTGTTTTATTCGACGGAATACTTCTGGACAGTGTGTCATCCTTCTGTTATATGTTGATGATATTATTATTACTGGTGATGATGTTTCTGGGACTGCGCAGGTCAAAATAGACCTTGGGAAGGCTTTCGATGTGAAGGACCTTGGATTTCTGCGATACTTTCTTGGGATTAAGGTTGCCCGTAGTGGCAGGGGTGTTGTTCTTTCTCAGAGAAAGTATGTTTTGGATCTTCTTTTAGACACTGGAATGTTCGGGTGCAAACCGGCATCATTACCCATGATTCCAAACTTGAAGCTTACTGCTGAAGGTGAGGAGTTGAAAGATTCGACAGTTTATCAAAGATTGGTAGGTAGACTTATCTACTTAGCCAATACTAGGCCGGACATTTCATTCGCAGTCAGCCGAGTTAGTTAGTTCATGCACAGGCCATGTCAGCCTCATCTTGATGTAGTTTATCATATTCTTCAGTACCTCAAGTCTTGTCCTGGACTTGGGGTTGTTTTATGCATCAGGATCTCAGACTGGTTCTCTAGCTTGTTATTCAGATTCAGATTATGGGGGAGCATGTGATGGTCGATCTACTACGGGCTTCTGTGCTTTTCGAGGGACTCATCTTCTCTCTTGGAAGAGCAAGAAGCAGGCAATTGTCTCCCGCTCGTCAGTAGAGGCAGAGTATCGGGCACTGACACTTGGCACGTGTGAGATTATCTGACTACAATCGATTCTTGGCGAGTTGGATTTTTCAGTGACCTCTCCATCCACATTATATTGTGATAATCGATTTGCTGTTTAGCTCGCTTCTGACTCTATACCACTTGAGAGGACGAAGCATATACAGATCGATGTTCACTTTCGTTGGGAGAAGGTTAGCAGTGGTATTGTCACTCTATCGTTTGTGGGGACCAGTGATTAGGTTGCGGATATTTTTACCAAACTTGTCACTTTGTCTATTCTTCGGGACTCCATTGTCAAGATTGACTTAGTTGACATTTTTGCGTCTAACTTGAGGGGGAGTGTTGGAGATATAGCAGCAACCTAGTTTATTAGGGTTTTATTAAGTTTTCATTTTTTACTTTTTTGTCCTTATTGTAACTCTCATGGGCTATATATACGGGGCTCTACACTTAATTTGTATCCCTTTTTTCTCTTCTAAATATTTCAAGTGTAACAAAGGGAAAATATAGATGGATGGCTCTGCTGTAAACAAGAAGCATAGCTTAGACCCTAATTTTGATGATAAATGAATAAGGTCAAAGAAGTTACCTCATCGAAGGGATATACCTAATGCAATATAGTTTCCTAAACCGTACTTAAAACTTTAAGCTAATTTTTAAAATATACCCTCAACTCTATAGTCAATGAATGTCTAGAATGGCCAAATGAACCACTAAATTTGTTATGATAAATAACAATATCTCTTGTACACCACCCTTTTTCCCTCCGTGTTTCAAAGACGAGGTTTCAAAAAGACATGTGCATTAAAGGTTCACTTTGAAATAGTTGCCTACATTTTAAATTAGTATAATGGGAAGGGATCATAGAGTTGCTTTTCTTTTCTTATAGCTTCATAATATTCCTAATCATTCTATAGTGACTGGAGAAATCAATAAAGTAGGCATAGGGTATATGATTAAAGATTGCCAAATTCTTAAAGGTAAATAAGATAATTCAAATCAAAATATGTAATTTATAGAGTTCCCTAAAGTTTGAAACATCGACTTCATATCTTGAAATAATTGAATAGTACTCAACTAACTTGGACACATGCATGAGTAGAGAGAAGGCTCAGATAGAGAAAGTATATTGGAAGTGGCATGAACCAAACTAATCCTAGTCCCTCAAGACACATAACTTGTTTAGATGTGTACTGTCAAGTTAATGGAGAGGACATAACTTGTTCATGAATCTTTACTTGTCAATTTTACAAGTCACTGCCTCAACCAAGGTATAGCTATGACCACTGCGATGATCCAACTCATCCTGAAAAATATATTAACGAAATATTGATTATGGTCTTGAAATTTTTTTAAGAGAAAATATAATTGAATGATGATATATTTTGACGAATCAAGAATTTCTAGTGGTACTGAAAAGAAAAGGTGCTCTTGCCGAGTTCCTACATAGGTAGGTTGATTCAGTGTGGTGAGTTCTTACAAAGGTATGGTGGTTTAATTTGTGTGTGTTACATAAAACAAAATCCATTTAGATACTTGGAACTAATACATTTCAATAGAAAACTGAAATTTAAGAACATGAAACCTTAATTACTCGCAATAAAAGCTAACATACGAAAGTCTCTGACATACTTTAAAATGTCAACATTCCAAAGCCTGATATTATTGTCATAAGGAGCTCCACAAATACCAGCACGAGGATCCTGTTTTTGTAATCTCTTGAAATTCCTCATCAATCTCTTCTTCACGGGATTCGACATTCCGGCCCCTCTTGTTATGAAAATAACAAAACAAATCTAGTTCACTACATGTCACCCATTAAAATGTGCACACTAGCACGGTATAGTTTAGCAAACCAGTAAAATAAATGTACATAAATCCTAAATTACTATTTAAGTTGTCGCACACTCAAAAATACAATAGGAAATAAATCCTAGTCCATTTGGGTGTGTCTCACACTTTGATTTCCTCTTACAACGATGCCCTGTTAAGTCAAAAGTTAAGGCATACAAACAAAGTTGTCGAAACATTTATCATAATGCATATCATTTTTCAAAGATGCTTTATCATGTATTGTAAGGTATAGTTTATATGTGCTTAATTTTTTTAATAGATATATAGACACACACATACACACATAATTATAGTTCCAAAATGATATAAAAAATATCCCAACTTAAATTCTACACAAGATTTGATGGGACATTTCCGAAATACTCTAAGATGAAGACACGTGTCCTTGATGTCACTAATCCTTGTTACTGAGATCATGTACCCATCGGTTCACAAGTCTCTCTCCCCCGAGGTACTTGTCATAGGGATCAAGTGGCATCCAGTACGTTTACGTACCGACACGTATCCCTCGGTCGCTATATGTATCTCCCCTCTCGGCTCCAAGGTGTACCAATCCCCCTCGGTACCGATATGCACCAACGTCCAGGATGGCATTCTCTTCTCCTACAGAGCTACTGATGTACAGGTCACTAGCCTAGACTAGGCTATGTTAGTTATCATGACATCGTCTTACACAATTGATGTCAGAAGGCACAGGAAGGCAGGGGCCACAACCAATGGGAATGGACGCGTGACATATTGTGTCACATCAGAGATAGAAAGACCGCATGCCCTTGCTGACACACGACTTGGGAAAGCAAGCATTTAATTACACCATTCCCTTGATGAGACTGCATTCAATGCGGTAAGGCTCGGAAGTGAAAAACAATAAATGTCTCTAAGGTTGGACATTTATTTCATCCTCCCTGAGAGGAGCTCATTGAACAATCGGCATGCCGATGACACAGCCTTGGTTGTTCGGGATCTTGAGCAATTAAAAGAGAAGACATTCCTGGTAGGAATCAGTGCGCACGTTGCCTGTATCTAATGATCACCTACTGACCACACTGACAGCAATCATGAGTATTTGAGGTATAAATACTCCTCGCAAAAGGTAAGGTGAAAAAAATGAAAAACGTTTACTACAATATATACTCAGTGTTTTCTTCTTCCTCTCTCTCAAAAACTGATTTGATCGTCGGAGGAGATACGCCGAAAAACACTCTGGCGCCTTTCTAACTTGTCTTTCTTTGTTTCAGGCACCTTCCTCAGCCTTACTGGATCGTTCCATTGATCCACAAGGATCTCCCATTACCGTTCCAGGTTACAACTGGACCTCACAGGCTGTTCCAAGCAGCAGGGTTGACCATTCGACTGACTCACTCGAGTTCACCAAGGGAGAGATCTGTTCTCGTGTTTATATTGTGCAAGATCCAGCACGCACAATCTGGCGCCGTCTGTGAGAAACGACTAGTTTTCCTAATTTCTTCTCTATAAAGAACAGTGACCATGGTGAATACTCGACAAAAAAGGAAAGGTCCCCAGCAAAGAAGTCTCGAATTACAAGCTCCATGTCACCATGGAGGGAGGGATCACATTGATGGGAATAAAAATGCCTCTATTCAGTAAAGAGGGGTTACCCCTCAAACCAGTATGGGAATCAGGTCAGGAGGATCAGCCCCCTTGGCTCGTCAGTTGGCGGAGGTGATCGAAGAAAAGTTTGGCGATTGATTACAATAGCTGGAAAAGGACAATGTAAACGTTCTAAGCCAGCTCAACGAATTCGCCGCCTCCGACGAAGGGTCGAGGGACTCATTCCTTTCTCGTGGGCTCCCCGCCCAGGAGGCAGAAACGAAGGATCTAAGGAATCATCTAAACAACAAGGCAGAAAGCTCTAGGGCCCCAAAGCGACCGAAAGCCAACGAGCATCCTCTTAACGAGCATTCCAGGAAGGCAAGGCCTTTAGCCCTGGACGACCTCCGGCGAGGATTGTCGAGAAGAAGGAAGGGAGATGAGTCCGAGGAGGATTCAACCCTATTCACACGGTGCCCAGGAAATGGGGGGCCTATTGATGAACTCAAGGACTTCAGAAGACATCTCATCGGGGAGGAAATTGATCTCAGAGCCCGGTTGGAATCCAGGAGAAAGAGTAAGGCTATCTAGGATGAGGTCGAAGACGAGGTCATACAAACACCCTTTACTAGGGAGATCGGAGAGATGGAGGTTCCAAGAAAGTTCGTCATACCGAGATTCAAAACTTATGACGAGCGGTCCGATCCCAAAGCCCATCTCAAGCAATACAAGCAGATGATGTCCCTCTATCATTCAGACCAACAGTTCCTCTGCCGAGTGTTTCCTATGAGCTTGGGGGACTCTGCGATGAAGTGATTCGAGGCGCTTCCCCCCAACAGCATTGGATCATGGAAGGAATTGACGAGGCAGTTCCTGGCTCGATTCATTACGGGGAGTAAGAGGCCTAAAGACGTTGGATCATTGCTAACGCTCAGACGTAGGGAATCCGAGACCCTTCGCCAGTATGTCATCCGGTACTGGAAAGAGGTTAATGAGGTAGAAAGCTGCTCCAAAGTCATGGCAGCGGCGTCTTTCAGGCTCGGCTTGGCAAGGGACACAGACCTGTACCGATCCCTGACCAAGAAGACTCCCTTGGATATGGGTGAGCTGATGGCCCGGATAAACAAATACTCAAGGATCGAGGACGAGATGGGAAGCAACAAGGACCGAACCCTCCAATCTAAGAGAAAAGAGAGGGAGCGGGAGGATACTCCGCGAAAGGGACTACTACCTCCTCCGGGGGGGTCGTTCGAAGGAGTTCACACTATGTTCAAGGAACCCCTCTTCAAGTTGCTCCACAAGATAAAGCATGAGCCATTCTTCAAGTGGCCGTCCAGGATGCAGAGTGATCCCTCCACCCGTGATCAAAAGGTTAGGTGTTCCTATCACCGGGATTTTGGACATCGCACTGAAAGCTGTAGGGTATACAAATCGTTCTTGGAAAGATTGGTCCGAGACAGATACTTGAAAGAATACATAGAGCCTAGGCCGGAAGAGAGACAAACCCCTGCCCCGATCAAGGAGCCGGACAACGTTATAGATGTCATCCATGTATGTCCACTAGATCACCCCACGTCCAAGGAACTCGAGTCCGATCTCAAGAGGGTAGCTTTTACAAGGAAGATAGCCGAGGATGATGGGGGGCCACCCAGTAAAAGGGCCAGGACTGGTGAGTCCAACATCACGTTCTCCAACGCGGACTTGACAGGGTGGTGACTGCTCATAACGACGCCCTTGTCTTAACTCTGAAGATAGGTAAATTCGATGGCAAAAGGGTGTTGATAGACTCCGGAAGTTCCTCGAAAGTGATGTACTCTGAGACTTTAAAACGGATGGGTCTTGGCCTCAAGGACCTCACCAAGGTCAGGACACCCCTCATCGAATTCAACGGCTCGTTCGCCCTGCCCATAGGCAAAATCACATTACCAGTTGTCATAGGTTCCTTCATCATCAACACTGAGTTTGTCGTGGTTGATACGGACTCTCCCTACAACGTGATCATGGGACGAACATGGCTGCATGCGTTGGGAGCGGTGCACTCCACTTATCACCAGAAACTAAAATTCGCCACGCCAGAAGGTATCATAGAGATCCGGGGGGACCAAGCGTCCACAAAAAATTATTTTTATTCAGCTGTTAGAGCCGGGACGTTCACCCAAGAAAAGGGGCGAGCACCGAAAGAGACCATGGAATGTGATGAATCTAAAGAAATACTATTTTTGAGTATTATCTCTCTCAGTGCTCGCCAATGACAAAGATAAAGGGCAAGGCCCTAGGGACAGAGTTCGAGGACTCTTGCCCCCGAAACATACACAAGAGCAAGCCTCTTGGATGGGCAAGGCCTTGAGGACAATTCAAGGACTCCTACGCAAAAAAGGAAAAGTGTACGCAAGAAAGAATAAGTACTCCAAAAAAGCTTTATTTTAAAAAGAGGGGCTTTGCGTCCCCAAGAGCTACAAAAGAAAAAAGTACAATCGAAAAAAAAAGAGCTTTCATCTGGCCCCCGGCATCTCCAAAACATCGCCCGAGGGCGAATCAGCGTAGAAAGATTGAGCATCTTTAGGAGCAGGCAGAGTGGAAGGTACTTTGTCAACAGAGAGAGCCTGAGGAATATTATGTTCAGGGGTCCAGTCCGGCAGGGCCTCATCAGAAAAATCCACAATTATCGCCTTGGGCGGATCAGCCGAAACTTGCACCGGCGTTGGAATCACGCCCTCGGCAGCAATCTCGGCTTCGACCTGTTCTATCTCTGCCGAGGGCACGTATTTGTGCATCTGGAAGAGCGGGGAGTCTGACGGGATCCTAGCAAATTGGAGCGCCTCGTTCCACCCCTTCTTGAAGAACTCCTTGCTATTTTCCTCAAGTGCGGGGAGCACGTCATCGGCGAACTTTTCTCGGAGTTGCTCTTCGGACTTCCTGTTCTGTGCCTCAGCCCTGATCCTGTCCTGCTCCTGGGTCAAAGCCAGACAGTTTTCCTCTGAACCAACAGCCCTCTCCTCTGCCGCAGAGAGCCACTGCGTCTGCTCTATAATCCTCCTCTCAGCGTCGGCATGGACAACATTTAGCTTTTCAGCGCCGATCTTCGCCAACTCGGCATCCTTGAGGAGTTACTCGATTTGAGTAGCCTGCCCCACGAGGGTGGAATCCCTGGCAGCTACGTCCTCCTTAGCACTGGTGAGGGCTCCCTCGGCTTCTTCCTTCTGCTCTCGAATCCGCTGAAGGTCCATCCTAGCCCCATGATACCGCGCCGCTATTATAGAAATCTGTTGGGTGGCCTGCAAAGGAAAGGGCATGTCACTAAAAAGAAAAGTGGCTAAAAAAGACTGAAGCAAAGATGAACTTACCACTAGGAAATTCTGGATGAT